AGGTAGACTGTCTTCTCAAAGAAGATCATCACCCTTTGGAATTCAGTTTACTTCTTGGCTTGTGACCCTCATCTCTCACGGATATTAAAACACACGACTTTAGAGAGTTTTGCTCCTTTCTTGTTTGGGGGTCTGGAGCAGCATTCCCTTGAGACATTTCACATTCTTAGCAATTGAGGAACATGGATCTCATTTCTCTTGATTAGTCATTCTAGCTTAACCAATTTTATAAAGGACTAACATTTTGGATGCTTTGATCCTCTTATTATACATTGGTTTTCCATCTCAGTAAGTGTGCTTTCATTTTTATGTTGTTTTGTTTGTTTTGCTGTATTTGTATCACTTAATGAGATGGATATTTAGCTTGTTTTCTCCTTTAACTCTATACTAGCATGTGATTTGAGGTTACAGACTTCACTGTAATTAGTGATTTAGCTGCATCCTGCAAGTTTAAAATATATTATTATCAGTATTGCTCATTTTAAAATAATTTGTATTTTTCAATATGAAGTTTTCTTTGAACTATAGGTTATTTAGAAGTATAATTTTTAATTTATATACATATGAGAAATTTCTAGTTGTGTTTTTGTCACGTTTTTTAACATTACATTGTGGTAAATTGACATACTCCACTTGACCTTAAGCCTGAAAAAAACGTTTTCTATAGTGTTCGATCACAGTTATGGACATACTAAATATCCATTTGTTCAAATTTGTTAATTATCATATTCAATTCTGAACTATCCATGCTGATTTTGTGTGTTTGTTCTATCAATTAGTCACAGAGGTGTGCTAACTCTGTCTTTAAAAATGTGGTCTTACCTATTCTTTTAGTTTTGTCCATTTCTTCTCAACTTACTAGAGGCTATGTTATAAGGTAGATACAGAGATGACAATATTATATCTTTCTGGAAATCGGGAACTTTGATCAATTTACTATATGACTATTAACAGGTTCTTTTGTTCTTGAAGTTTTTTATTTCATATGCCACTACATATATACACACACACTATAATTTCTGTTTCCATATAACACTTGTATAATGTTTTTGTACTTATGCTAAAACTTTGTTTTCTATTTCAGTTTGTTTAGTATTTGTTAGTGTATCGAATCCCCATTCTTTATGTTCAACTTTTCCATAGCCTTATATTTTAGATGTATCTCTTATAAATCACATATGCTTTAACTGACTTTATCCACTGAACATGCATTATTTCTGTTACATTAATTTCATTTACTACAATTACTGATTTATTTGCTTCGTATGTTACATTGTTTTGTGCTTTCCTTGTTTTCTGCCTAGTGTGTGTTACTTTTTCTCTCTTCTGTTTCCTTTCAGATAAACCGAATATATTTATTCCTCCATTTGTCTTCTGTTTGTTTAGAAGTTGTGAACTAAGAGTCCATCATTTCAGTGCTGACTCAGAAATTAAACATTCCCCAACTTAAAGTGGAGCTCCCCTGGCAATTGCTAGAAATGTACAAGGAGATATACACATACATATGTCTTCACCACACCAAACCAGATGCAACTGCAATTTCAACTTTCCCTTTAAGCCTCGTGTTCCAGGTTCACTAAGACTGAATGGAGGGTGTCATTTCCCCAGTGATACACCTCCACTCCAGCTTGTGAGCAAGATGACACATTCATTACAGCCAACTCAGCAAGCAAGGTCTATTGCCTTCCATTTTCTGTAGTTCTGAATGCCTGTTCTTTCATCTTGTTTATTTCTATGCCCAGCAATATCCAAAGTACTTTTAGTTTTGCCTTGTTTTTACCATTTTGTCAAAGTGCCTACTCTCTCTGATTCTAGAATTCTCCAAGCCTTTGAATCATATCCCCAGAGGGTCATTATATCTCTGTATCCAGATTTCTCTCAGCTGAAGAATTGCACTCAACAGATTCCTGAACTGATCAAGTGGTTCAAGTTTGAGCTTCTTAAGATGCTGGTCCTTCACAGCTGTGGTCTTTCACTAAACTCTGAGCAGCAGGATGTTAAAATGAGAGTCTTCCTCTCAGAACTTTCACCAGATACAAAGCTGAGTACACAAAGTGACAAATAAGCATAATTTCTAAGACAAGAGGCTAGACCATATTTTCTGGAGCTGAATTAATAGAAAAGGAAAAAGCTTCATTTCAGTTAAATCCAGCCTCATTGACTGCCATCAGTTTAGGAACTCATTTTAATCTTTCTCCCTTTTCCAATATTATACTTTTGTTAATTAGACTCATGGAATCGAAGTTTTAAAAATATTTTTCCTGAAATAATTATAAACCACGGAAGCTGAAAGTTGGACTCCAAGTTCACTTTCCTCCATTGTAAACAATAATATATATCATGTTTTAGAGCAAAACATATCCAAGTGACCTGACATTCTTCACCTCTAGACTCCCATCTTTATATTTCATTGACAAACACAAAAAATTAATGAAAACAAAAGAGAGGAGAGCAAAAGCCAGAGTGAGAACAAGAGGGAGAGAGGGAAAAATTCCTGGATCCAGGAAATCACCTGGATCCAGGTAACTGAGAAAGGACAAACCTTTATTTGGACTTAGGTCTTGTGCCCACCTTTCCCTTGAATCAATCTCTATGGTTCAGGAATTATTTTCCCAGCTTGGGTTCAAGTCTTCAACCTGCCAGATTTAATTTTGCGATTTTACAAAACTTTCTCCCTGATATTTCTGCATGCACTTTTAGAATTATAACATACCTCGCAGCTCTAAATATGGTATCAGGCTCTTTCACAAGATAAGCTTATGGCAATCTAGCTAAGGATTACATTTATCTAGCTGCTCATGCAGCTAGGTGCGGCCATGTGATTAAGTCTGCGTGTGGAATCTGTGCTAAAGCACTCGTCCCCTGTGAGTCTGGGCCATAGAGCTTTGAGACTATACTCCACGTGTCCTTCCTTTCCTTTATTACTATCTGACTCACAGCTGTGCCCACAGTCAAGCTTTTTTTTAACTTGCAGGTAAGTCCAATGCCTTAAAGGATACACAGCATCAGGATGGAAGGAATCTGAATCACTGAATGATGCTGTACAGCACTGCCTCCCCTCAAGCCTAGAGTGGTGGGACTGTAACATGTCTTCCAAGTTGTAGCACACCTCCTAAAAGATCCCTATCTCCAGATCTCTATCTGGGCATCTGCTGTCTCTCCCACTTTATCCTCTCTCCTCTCCTGCCATCAATGGAACTCAAGCACAGCTCTGTGCATGCTTCATCACCTTCAAGACTCTTCCTGTGGGAGAAGTCCAGGACCCAGGTACCAAATTATCTTTCAAACTCATCCTCAATCAACTTGTTATGCTGGCCACGGTGGAACTGGCTGATTCCTAGTAGTTACTGTCTACCATTGAGTATGTACTCATTCTCTTCCTTTCTCTCAAATACATTTCTTCCGGGCGACCTCATTGCCCTCACTCAGCTTGGCAGCCTGGGTTCATGGATTCCAGTCTGGGCACGGATCTACTTCACTCACCAGCCACACCGTCGAGGTGACCCACATGCAAACAAATAGAGATGTTAGCTCAGGGCTGATCTTCCTCAGAAAAATAAAATAAAATAAAATACATTTCTTCCAATGTCCTCTTGCTAAAATATGCGTCATCCCCCAAATTCCAGCAGTGAGGGCACCTCCTCTGTGAGGACATTTAGAAAAACTTCCAAATATAATTAATTGTATTACTAGTTATCACAAGCACTTTACCTACAAATAAGTACTGCATTTGCAACAGTATTTGATAAGCATCACTTCTCTATTTTATATTATTTTCTCCAGGATAATAGATTCACCAAGGGTGAGATCTTAGACTTGTTTCTCTCTAAGTATCCAACAGCAATGATTCCCACATTCAGATTCCACGTACCAGTAAAATGTACCCCCAACTGTGGATGGAAAAACTAGCATTGCCTACTGTTAAACACAATTGAAGACATTTTTGAAACTGATGTTCTCACTTCACAATAATTTCATCCAGAGTACATTTTAATATTTACTATTGGGAACGATAGGATACAAATTCAACAAAACACAAATTTCTGATGAAAATGTGATTGGTAGATTCACATCACACATCAAAGGAAAAAGGAAGATTAAAAATTTTCAAAATGAAATTTTATTTTCTGATGTTTTATTCTATGTAAGTCTTCTTTTTCATATGTTATCTATTAGAATCTGTTTTTGACAGTACTATAAAAATTGTCTCCAACAGCTGTCTTTTTGTTTTTATCACTTTTCTTACTCATTCTACAGAAATATTTTGACCAAGATGAAACTGACACTCCGTTATGAGTTAATTCATTCAATTGACTCATTTTTCTTCTCTTAGCTTAATATAATGGAATGAACTTTTTTAAGTGAGTTAAAATATCCCTGATACATAATTCAAATATATATGACAGAATGCTTGCTCATACTGAAATTCAAATATGATAGAAATATCTTAATAGAAGAAAAAACTGAAGAGAGAAAATGTTGGTAGCATTTGTCTGCTTTTTAAAATTATTGGTTACGTCTTTTGCTCATTCTGAATACTCATTTGAATTTGTATTTTTCTATTATTTTATTTCATAAGGACCCTCAAATTATATTCAGTATCCCTCACACCAGCACGACCACCAAACCAGGATCCACTCTCGTAGGAGCAAGGAAAAAAACTGGAAGCACATGCAACGAAATAACAGCGAATACATCTGGGCTATAAAATCAGGGATTCTATACACACACACACACACACACACACACACAAGGGTAACTTTATTGCTGATGAAAAAAATCACTGAGGTAAAAACAAAATGTCCTCTAAAAAGGGAAAGAGATATAAAATGAAGCACAAAATTTTTCAAAAGAAAAAAATTAATATCAAACCCCTAACCTCACAACAGTACCCCTGAGAGACAGGGCGCAGAACTCTCTCACACACGTTACTTTGCCCACATTCACTCCCGCTGCCCTGCATTTATTGTGGGGTCAGGAAACCAAAGCCAACTGCGAAGGAGGCAGGCGCCCGCGTTTCCAAAGCCAGGCGTGGAGGAAGCGCGAACTTTCCTCCCGCCTCATCAGGTGTCCTGCCTCGGGGGAAAAACAGTGAAAACCCAACGGTTAACTTCGCCCAAAAGTAGATCCTTTCGATTTCGTTCTCCTCGACCCCACCCTATGACTGGTTCGGTGCAACATCCGGCTCGATTTTCAGCTTCTCAAGAGAAGAGTTCGTACCCACAGGAGCCGGACGCAGGAGGAGCGAGCGAGGGCCCCTGAGGACTTCTTCCCGGACTGCAGCACCGCGCCACGTAAGTTCGCTCCTAAACTTGGTCTTCCAGGCACATTTGCGTTAACAGACCAACAACCGCAAATTCCCAAGCGCACACTCCACCCCGGCAAGGGGGAGGCCGCGGTGCCGGATGCTGTGTGGCCTGGGGGGCGCTTTGCCTCAGCTACTCCCTTTGCACCAGAGGAGGCAGCGAGGCGAAGGTCTCCCCTCTAGAATTCACCCAGGCCTGCAGCAAAGAGCCCTGCGTGGGAGAAGGAGGCGTGCACCCTGCCTCATCTGCGGAAAGGGGGCTGAAGTCCTTACTTGACTGATGGAACAGTCCTACCCCCTCATAAAGGCGCTGGGTGGGGTCGCTTCCTCCACCTCCCTCACCCTTCCTCAGACATTTCCTGACAGCTCCCGGCCAGGCATTAGAGAAACCAAAAAAAAGGTGATTAACAGAAAATTTAAATCTTAAATGATTGACTCTTGATTATTTTTGTATTTACATTTAATATTCCAAATACAACACTGTATTATATGGAATAATTCCATCTCTCACTAATCAACTATAAATAATAACTGTAAAGTCTAATCATGTTTCTTTATCATGCACCAGTTTTAATGTGTGGTGCATACAAGAACTGCATCAGAATAACTTCTGGTACTTGCTGAAAATACAGGGTTTGAGAAATTTTTAACCATCACTCCAGATGACTCTGGTGAACAGAAACCTTTGCAAACGGTTGATGGTTTTCTGCCATCCAATAGAGCTATTTCATTTACCTGTTTAACTTTGAAGTTAAAACCTTCTTGTTTGGGTTCCTCAGTATACTTTGGTTAACTTCTCCTACCCATAGCTTTTTAAATATTCAATCTAACAAATAAACTCTACAATTCCTCCTGCTTATGATACGCCATAAAAAGCTTATGTTTTTTCTCCCGCAACTCTGTTCCCAGTCAGCTATAGAAAAAGAAGAGAAATTATACAGCGGAAGTCTGTTAAACAAATTGATGTTATTTTCTGACAAAAAGATCTTAGATAACTTATTATTTCTTGGCAATTTACAGCTCACTGAACATATTGACATATTTTAACATGTTGCCTAACTTGTTTATTGTTCAAAAAGTACATTAATCCTGGAAAAATTTTTTTAATTATTGAGAGCCTGTTACCAGCCTGTACAGTCATGAATCAGGCAGGAATTATTGTCTTACCTATAACACTGATGAGACAATGGAAACTAACAGAGGTAGTTCCTTTTTCAAGATCTCACAGAAAATAAGTAACTTGAACTCTCAGGTTTGGACCCTGGCAGCATGAATCTAGAATGTGTGCTCTGACCTCCCAGGGCAGCTGCAGGTTCCTCCGGCCCGACTCATCCTCCATCAGTGTCTTCCTGCTCAGCTCTGACTGCTGGCCCTCTCCCACCTGCTCATCCTCCTCATCGGATGTGTCCCCCACTTGCTTGCAACCTGGGAGAGAACTGTTACTGTTTCAGTCCAATGCCAATCCTTCACCTTCATTTAGAAACTACCCTCCTTGTCTTCTTAGACACTCAGTTTTTATTTGGATTTACTATGTACCACCAGGATTAAAGAGCATTATAAATGTTATGAGATATTTAATCCTGTTAAACACCCTAATGACCAATAGATTGTGAGTTTTAGTGTTGCTATTTTACGGAAGAAGAAACTGAGGCACAGAGAAATTAATGATTTTTCCAGTGGTCACATAACTTGCAAAGTAGGGAAACATGTGACTGTTGCCTAGCGTTGGCTTTGAGAAAATAAAAGGACGAAGCTCTTTGACTGCTGTCCTGCTCTAGATTTCTTGAAACACCCAGCCCTTGTGACAAAAACATTGAAAGTAGAAGCTCACCCAGATGTGGCACTCTGGCCGATCCAGGCAGACCCTACAACACCCTGGCTACTGTTTCTCTTCCCTGGCAGCCTATAAACAAGAAATATCCTTTTATTCCAGGTAAATAAATTAATTCCCGCCCCCATAACTCTGTCTCGGTTCTGTAAGGATTGTCCCGTTGTGCTTTGACACAGCTACATCCCTTATCTCTTCTTCTCTCTCTCTCAGTCACTCCTCCCCGCCGCCTGCTCCTGCGCCCACCATTCACTAAACCGGTCCTCAGCAAGGTCACTGATCACTTTCTTCTTCTCTTTCTAGGAGATGCCTTCCCCGACTAGCCTCTATACAAATTCATCCCCCAAGGCTCCCTATCCCTATTCCCTGCTTATTTTCTTCTGAGGGTTTACCATCATCTAAGATACATACATGTATTTTGCTACTTTGCTTTCTTTATTATCTGTCTCCTCCCACCAGGATGGAGCTCCAGGAGGCGGGAATTTGTATCCATCTTGTTCACTGCTTGATACTGAGCACCTCTGTGGGGAATCATAACAAAATGGAGTAACACATGTCCAGCTTCTAAAATGGAGCTGCGAGGCCATTAAGGAAGTGAGGCTTATGCAAGTACACCAGGAGTCTGCCCAGATGGAGTGTCAGTTTTTGAACTGTGCCTCACTGTTGTTTCCGTGAACTTCCATTTAAAAAAAAAAAAAAACCGCTTACTCTGAGAGATAAGAACTTTTTGCCTTAGAGATGGCCTTACACAACCAATCAAGGTAGCCAGGGAATAACTGTTGTCACCAGCACCAATCACACGTCTTGCAGAACAACCTGTGTGATTTATCTCTTTCTGTCTTTATAAACCCTTGCCTTCTTTTGCTTCTCCAGGGCGCATTTTGGGTTTCTGCCTAAATCTTTGTATCCCGAATTGCAAATCTAATTGCCCAACTCAATGTCTATCGCTTAAATTACAATGGTTTTTCCTCAGTGACACCTGGAACAGAGCCCAGCACTTGGCTGGTATTTCAATAAATGTTTGTGCAATTAATGAAATAGCCAATCCTTCTGGAACTCCTGAGATCTTCTCTGCACACTCATCTCCTTCATGTCCCATTCTGCCTCTACTTACCCCCAACAATGTTACTGCTCTCAAGGCTCCATCATCAGTGCTTTGTTTTTCTCATTCTGTCTTTTCATGCATCACATGTAGGCAAGGTTGTTTTAGGATTCATTTAAAAACCAATAAGATAATGTACACTAAGTATCTGTACCAGGCCTTGACAGAATAGGCTAAACACTTTTATTTTAGACACATGCAGAATGTAGAAAATTAACATATAAGTTCCCCACGCAGAAAGCTGATGAGCATGTGACTTGTGTAATCGTTAGAGATGACTTTGAGATCTTGCATTCTACTGAATTGTTCCTCTGGGTTACAGCTTACCATGGCATCTGTATGCACCATGACGGCCCCCATTTGTCTTGTGGAAAACCAGAAAAATCTCCTGATGGTCAATCCAGAAGCACTGAAAATTCTTGGCAACATATCTCAGCCTGTGGTGGTGGTGGCCATTGCAGGGCCCTATCGGACAGGAAAATCCTACCTAATGAACCGCCTGGCAGGACAGAGCCGTGGTGAGTGTTGTCCTCGGGAAGGGGTGACGTGCTTGGGAGCAGTGATAACACGAGCTGATCACACCTCCTTTAGAGTCATCTTAAGGAAGAGCCTGACCCCTCCCACTGAGGAAAACTTCTAATTCTCCCCACCAAATTTATAACTTCAACCCCATCTGTCTGCAAAGTCTCACTCTTTAGTCCAGTAATAAAAAGTTCCCCAACCCTACCAAAAGATCCACCCCACTGGTATTGATCCCATCCACTCTCATCTGCTCAGGAGTTCAGCTCCAGCAATTATTCCCCTCCTTTCTCCTACATCACTTTTGCCCTAAACTACAGGGTCATTTCAAGTAGCACACAAATTGCTCAGTATGGCCCATTTTTAAAAAGGGATGGAAGGAAGAACAGACACAAGAACCCTGTATGGCCCCTATCTCAACGGGGCTACCATCCATTTTTTTGCTTCAATTCACAGCAAAACTTTGATAAATTATGCCCCCTTCACTTTCTCTATTTAGTCTTTTCTAATTTGTGACCTCTGATACATACAGAGAAATGCATAAAACATACATGTACAATAAAGTTAATAAATATAAAGTGATCGTCTGTGTAATCACTGTGCAGAGCAAGAAATAAAACATCATCAACACCAAGAAACCCAACTCACACCCTCTCACCCTCACTAGAGCTCACCAATGTTTCGATTTTCATGGTGCATACTTTCACTCTTCCTTTGTAAAGGGCTTTACAACCTGTGTTTGCATTTCTAAAGAATAGATTAAACTTTATGTAAAGGGAATGACAGTCTGTGGACTCTTTGGGATCTTGCTTCTTTTGTTCAACAAGATTTTATGAGAATCATCTGGTTTATGATATGCCTGTGTAGTTCATTTAACTATATTATAGTGTGCTATTGTCAGAGGACACCACAATCTAATTATCCATTTGTTTTGATGAGTTGGTATTTCTAGTTTTTATCCTTTATGAATGAGGCTGTCATGGATACTCTTGTGTTTATATTCTGGTGCACATGTACGCAAACTTCCCTTGTGTGATGTAGCCAGAAGTGGAAATGCTCCGTCACAGATTATGCACATCTTCAGCCTTTCTAGATAATATCAAACAGCTTTTCAAACTCTTTGTGCAATTTATATGCTTATTAGCAGTAATTGAGAATTCTGCACTCCTCAAAAAGCTTTGGTAAAAGTCTTTTTAACTTTTTCTGATCTGGTGACTGTATAGTTGCGTGTTATTTGGCTCATTCCAAATAGCTGGAGCACTTTTTCCCATGTTTATTTGCTATTTGCATTTCCTTTCTCATGACCTCTTGTTTGGTTTTGTTTTTGGTTTGGTTTTGGTTTGGTTTCTTTACCAGGTTGCCTTTCTTGGTTCTTATCGATTTTGAGGACAATCTGCCTAGGTCCTGTTAAGCCTTTCTGTCAATGAAGACCACACACCATTTATTCTCTAATGTTTTCCTCTGTGGCTCAGAGGCTCAGCACCATTAAGGGTTGACCTCAGTCCACTGAACTCTAAGGATCCCAGGAATATCTCATTGTCTCTGTCTCTTTCTTTCGATCTGTTTCCCCTCCTCCGTTCCTTCCTTTCTCTCTCTCTCCTTTTGCTTCCCAATCTCCCGTTGGCTCCTAACAAAACATTTTCCCTTTGTCTTTCTCTTAGAGGAATTCTTGATCAACAGTGAGGGGAGGACACATTTCCTTGCCTGACCTAAATTAATTAACAGAACTTTTTATCTAAGGATTAAAATTTGGAACACTAAGACAGAGACATCAGTCAAGGAGTTTCAAAAATATCTTTTTTTTATTCTACTGAAGATACCTCAGGTTAAAATGAGGTGATTTCCCCAATGCTGAGAAAGTTCCTAACCTCAAAATGTTTTAAAACACCTGAATTGTGACTTTACCACCCCACTCGTATCACAAGAAGAACAGAAAAAAGAGACTTGCACCTCGACAAGGTCCACGAGCAGGGCCAGGTCATTACTCTCTCCCGGGGATGACTTGCTTTGCGTGTTTTTTGCCTCTCGTGACTGAGAGTGATGACAGCCAATTACACTTTGTCTTTTCTCCTGGAGGGACTGGGAGTTCAGATTACTTTGTATTAATCAGCAAGCACTCAAACACCATTACAATAGAGAAGAGTACAGACCATCTCAGGCTTTATACCCTCTCTGTGGAGAACTCACAGGGTGTGGGAATTGAATGGCCTCAATCATGATAAACCCTGCTCCCCTTGGTAATTCATCAGCTACATTTCTGTTCTCAGTTGAAAGAAGCATTGACAAATGGCACAAGGTCATAATCTTGGACTGATGGACAAGATATGTCACCCACAGGTTCCTGGGCATATACCTAACATCCTCTCCCTTGGGAAAGAGGAGCAGGCAAGACTCACAGGTCTTCTCTGCTCTCCCTTCTGTTATATCCCCCTTCTGAGGAAACGAACAAAGAACTTATCTTTTGCTTGAAGAGGAGAAAACAATAGAGGAAAATACAGGGATGAAGGGAAGGAAAAAATCCAACAAAAGGTGATATATGAGGCCAGCTCCTGACAGGACACAGATGAGCCACTCAAGGGGTAATTGAGGAGTTTTAATGGTGGACTATTTACAAGGGCATAAGCAGAGGAAAGGGAACCTGAGGAATGAGGAAGCACCAGGTGGCTGTTATAAATCCTGCAGCCTGAAGAGGCAGTCAGTTAGTGGACACCAGAGTTGGTGCCTCCCACTGTTTGAACTCCATCAGTTACTGGAGGACAAGGGAGCTCTTCACTGTCAGATAAAAATACAAAGGTTAACAGAGTTTACATTAATTCTGTAATATGACATAGTTTGAGCTGTTGATGGTATGAGGTAAATAAGGGACACGAAGCGTTTCTTGAGAAAGTTCTTACTGTGCATAAAGGTTGGGTCAGCTGTCCTTCCTGAAATGGAAGCCACACTCCTTCCAGACAGGCACTCACATTCCACAAGTTGAATCAATGCAACCCATGAGTAGCCTGAACTGTCTGCTATGACTGGATGTTGCTTTCTCCTCTTCTCTTGCAGGTTTCCCTCTGGGCTCTACAGTGAGGTCTGAAACCAAGGGTATCTGGATGTGGTGTATACCCCACCCTTCCAAGGCGAAACACACCCTGGTCCTACTAGACACTGAGGGCCTGGGCGATGTGGAAAAGGTAAGGCAGAGAGTCTTCTTTGCTCTTGATACTCCACTTACATTTTAATTTGCCACCTCAGTTCAACTTTTATGACACATGCCTACAAACTGCAAATCCATTTCTGAATAATGAGGCTAAATTCTGCTCCTTGAATTTACTTCCTTGGTAAGTTCAATACTTTGGTTATTAGTGATACATATTCTCATTTTTAACACTGGGGTGAAAGATATTAGTTAACAAATAATTCTTGGGCGGCTGAATTCCCAGGGCTTTGTGTTAAGTCCTACAGATAGCACAGTGAATGAGGTAAAGACTCAGAGCCTAGTTGGGAAAATAAGAAATATGCACTGTTATCAGTACAGGGAACAGTGGATACAAAAAGTGAAAATCTAACCCAGTCTTTGAGGTTAGGGGAAAATCCTGGAGGATGCAATAACACATGCAGTCAATGATCTCTACAAGTTAAGATGTCTGAGGCTGATGGACTTGAAAGTAGAAACCATAAAAATAGAGTTTCAGGGAAACCATCTAATTACATAATCTCCAGGAAAACTTCAGCTATACCAAAAACATTCATTAAGGTTTTACTTCAACTCCCTGAGCTTCAAAGGTGAATTCTTTACTGACTTCTAGCAAAACTTGAGCTACACCCACCAAAAGCATTGTAAATGGTGTAAGTTTAGGTATTTTGTCTTCATAGTGTTAGTTGCAGTCAATCTTGTCTCCTTATTTCTACTAGTCGGAGTCTAAATTGAAAGTAGTGGCGGTGGATATTTGACTTCCATTAGTGCCAAAAAGAGTTGGGGCATGAATTCACAAATTCTGAATTTAAAAATTCAGGTTAAAGTACTCAATGTAAACCCAAGATGGTCTGCTGCTGCCTAATAGATTGCAGTTTGCATAAACCTTCTTCTTTTTATCTAATTGCATTTGTCAAAGAACCAAAACACATCAAGTTGTAAACTGATAGCAGAGGAAATACTTGCTGCCCTTAGAACTTGTAGTGTATCTAGGTCATATCTAATTCTATTACCAAGGCACTCGTGAGTTGCCCTGACTCTCGTCTTCTGCCTCTTCTCCTACTCCAAAACACATAACCACTACCCTAGTCAGATAAAATCACCGTACAATACCTTTATATGACTACGCTGTCTGACAATTCTGATTGGCTTCTGTTGTCCTTCCACTTCCATGGTCCCCTTATCTCCAGAATTCCATATTCTCTCAATTCTTAAAAGCCTATCTATTTTGGGCCTAATGCCATCGTATTGCTGTCAAACAGAATCACTTCTTGCCCTTAATTCACAGAGTACTTTTTCTGGTTTATTGTCATTCTCCCTTTGTCTTTTACATTATAATACTTGGTTCCATTCCTGTCAAAGTTTATCATCTTGGAGGCATTTACATGTTGCCGACTGCATCTGCCCCTCCAGAAGTCATGTCTCGAGGGTGGGGACCAACGTATGCAACTTTATATCCACCAAACGCAGGTCTGGCATTTTGTAGATGCACCATGACGAGTTAAATGAATAGTGTTTATGTCCCTAATGTAGCCCATGATGGAGAAAAATTTGCAAAGGAATCATTGCACACTTATCATTGTACAACACCATATTCTAGACACTATATTAAACATTTGGCATACATTTACAGTACTGTTCACTTCTCTTAGTAGCTAAAGAAACTAAGGCCCTGAGAGAGGTCAATGTCAATACCAAAAATGAGGTTAGAATTTAGCAGTGGCTTCGAAATTTATGCTATTTGTCCTACTGTTCAGTTATAGTACAGCTGGCATAGTGAAGGACCAACTGAAAGAGTGAATGAAGAGTAGACTCCTAATTCCCTTGCTGTAATGTACTTTCTAGGGTGACTCTAAAAATGACTTGTGGATCTTCACACTGGCCATACTTCTGAGCAGTGTATTTGTCTACAACAGCATGGGCACCATCAACCGCCAGGCCCTCGAGCAGCTGCAGTATCCTTCCAGGAACCAAACCACCATGTCGTGTTGAATTTATGAGAATGACAACTGAGACAGTTTCTTCTTTCCTGTGACTCAGTTCTCATGGTGGAGGAGAAGGGGACACAGGGCAAAGGGGAATGTTTATAAAGCTTGTCTCTGGGTGAGATCTGGAAACTGTGGTGTACAGCACTTCGCATTCCTTAGCTAAGATCCCAGCTATGTGACTGAACTAACAAAGCTAATCAGGACGAGATCCTCTCCCAGCTTTGGTGAAGTGGATGACTCAGCTGAGTTTGTGAGTTTCTTTCCAGACTTTGTTTGGACTGTACGGGATTTCACATTGGAGCTGCAGTTAGATGGACGCCCCATCACTTCTGATCAGTACCTGGAGAATGCCTTGAAGTTGATTCCAGGTATCAGCACATAGCTTGAGCGGTAGAAGTTTCAGTAGGGGATGGGATCAACTTACCCCTGTCATTCAGCACTTGATGTCAATCTTCATTTGGGATTGGACTGAGGCCCGTGCTAAGAGTGATTGACAGGAGGGTATGGTTTCAGTCATCATTATTACTTGAAAGTCTCCTGCAAACTGAGTTTAAGATCATGGAGAAAATTTAGGATACAATACTGAACGAAATGATTTTAGAAAAATGGATACCATGAAAAAACAGCTCACATACTCGCATTATTTATTAAGTCTAAGTGCTCCTCCTCTTCTCCTGTTTCAAGAAAACTAGCATCAAACTGGCGATTGGTAGGCACTGAATCACAGAGAATCAAATGAACTAATGTTTGAAATATATTTCACACGCTATATTTTACTAGCCTATATAATTATACCCTTCATACACAGGATATTTACATACCAAATAGTTCAGATAAAAAGCATTGACATGTCGTTCCAGTTAGATTGTCAAAGCATTCATGTGTTCTTTCTCACGACATCACCCTCTTCATTCTACAGCCTTACGCAGTATGTCGTCACATCATATAATAAATTCATTACAAGGATTACATTTAGTGGAGAGGATAATGAGTGGTGAGCTAGGAGCAACATCCATTTTTATTTATTTACTCACTGCTTCATTTTTTCAACAAATATTTGTTGAACAGCGGATATGTGCCCAGAATCACTCTATATGATGTTGTGAAGTCTAATATAATATGTTGGACTCTCTGATATGGAGAACTGTTGAGGTCTTCAAGTTATATTCAGGTGAACCTTACTATTCAGTCATGTGTGCTATAGGAATCACAAACATGTTTATAGTGTCTCTTTTTTTTAATCTGATTTTATAAAGCTTTTCTTTCCTTCCTGAGTATCATTTGTCCCCCATAAGATTTTTCCCAGCAATATCATAAATACCCTTATTTCTACCATTACTTTACTTTAGAGGCCACATTTCATTTCTGAGATGAGGACCATAATATCAAAAAAGTATTTCTGACAATTTGTTGGATTAATCTACTATTCAACAAACATCTAATATGTAGTTGATCCACTGCACACCAAGCAAGGGCTAAGGAAAACAGTCATAAGTTTCCTCACGTGGCATGGATCCCTCCCCTTGCCCCCAGAAGTACTTCCTTCACTCTTGGCCTTGTACAATAAAAGGATTTTCCATGCCTGGAGTAGATGAGCATAAGGTTGACTTGCATGATTAAAAAAAGGAGATTTACAGGCACAGGAGTTCCAGTGATGCAAAGATCACTGGAAACGAAAGGCCCCAGTCTCCTTGCCTGAAGGCTGTCCCTTCAATGATCTTTTTCCACTTCTGCAGGTGAGGATCCCCGAATCCAAAATTCCAACGTGCCTAGAGAGTGTATCAGGAAGTTCTTTCCAGAACGAAAGTGCTTTGTCTTTGACCGGCCTATAAATGACAAAAAATTATTGCAACATATTGAGGAAGCATCCGAATACCAACTAGAATTGGATTTCCGGGAGCAATCCAAAAATTTCTGTTCATACATCTTTGCCAAGGCAAAAACCAAGACCCTAAGAGAGGGAATCACTGTCACCGGGAATCGTGAGTCCCTTTTGTTACAGGTGCCTCTCTGGGGTTTACTGTGTGATGAAGCTGTGATTGCTCTCTGGGTGTGTCAGTAAATTTTGTTTCCTTCTGTATGTATTGTGGAAAAGTAGACGTTCACACCATATGTAGAAATGCATGTTTCTTCGTTTGTCTCCCTGTATGGAGGTTTATTGAGATCCAATATATCCCATGAAATGAATGCACTAATGGTACAAGCACAAGCTGCTGTTAAGGATAGAAATCTGCATGGTGATTAGAAGTAATTAGATGGGATAAGTGAGTGTTTCTCAAGGAGAAAATACAAAATATTTTGTGCATTTACACCAGTTAGAAAATTAATAGTAGGGCGTGAATCCCAGCAAGCTCATTCAGAGTTTGAGAAACAAATTTAAGTTTAATCTTATGTACAGGGCTGGCTTCATGGTCCTCTGACCTCGACAGTCACCCAGTGCCTGGTACTGAGAGGGGCCCATGCTTGGTTTAATGTTTATGTCACTGACTTGAATCTTTGATGAATTTTTTTATGGGCCCCCACATTTTCATTGGAAATATTGCCCACAAATTATGTAGTTTACTTCCGTGTATAATAGGATCTTTTTACTTTGATTGTAATGCAAAAATGTTCTAAGAAACCTTTGACCATATTAGTTGAGATCCTTAACTAAATATTGTGTTGTGACAAATTTGAGAACCATAAAAGATAGAGTAGATAGGATATACAGTGATTTTATTACAAGGAGGAGGATTCATAAAAGAGGAAGCAGGAAGAAATCAGGATGAGGACAAGGATGAAGATGAGGAGGAGGAGAAGAAAGAGAAGTAAAGAAAAGTTCATATTCAAAAAAGTTTTTGTTGTTTTAAGAATGCTGATCTCTAAGTCTTGTAACACAATGGTTACAACACAATGGATAACACAGTTATCAGGCAATGCTCCACTGCTATTCCTAGGGTTTTCATGGCCAATTTTCTTTGTTTTGAAAGTGAGTGGCCAGGTGCTTCTTCCTAGTCTTTCTTAGTGCAAGCAGCTTAAAACAACACACACGTTAGAACACAGTTCTTCAGGTCAGATCCCAGCACAACGTATATGGGTGCTCTGCTCAGTGTACCACAAGCTGAAAACAAGGTTCATATGGGCTTATATTATCATATGGAGACTCTGGGGAACTTGCGCTACATCTTCAAGCCAGCAATGCTGTATTGTATCCTTCTCTTGTTTCTAATCTCTCTGACTACCTTTGTTAACCGAATCTGAAGTGAGTTTGCTCACCTGTTGCGCAGCAAGCTAATCTCTGAAACTGGGTGTGGTGGAAGAAAGTAGGAATTTTATTTTTGCACAGCGCTGAGCAAGGAGAGAGGGCAGCTAACGCTGAAATCCCAAACTCCCCGAAAAGCTAAAAGGAAGCATTTTTATTTGGAGTTTTAGGTAGGGGAGGGGGAGCATATGGCCTTGCTGGTCGGAGCTTTCCCACCAGCCTGTCTTTGGCCTTGAGACACTTGCAGAGAGGAGGCAGCCCATGACCTTGCTGGTCAGTAGCTTTCCCACCAGCCCGTATCTCTTTGCAGGAGGAGATAGTCCAGGTGCTTGTCCTTCACAGTGTCTGTCTCCATGGAAGATAGTGGATTCTGGAGCCAGGAAGCCGGGAGTAGCAGGGAATGAGTGTTTTGGTTTTAACTCCATATATGCTAGGTTTAACGTGGGGAAACTTATATCAGGGTCGATATCACCTTCTCTGCCACCAGTTGGAGAAAATTGCTTTTAAAGGGCTCACGAGATTAGGTAATGTTTACCTGGGTAATCTCCATTTCTTAAAGTCAACCTGTGCCCTATAACATAATCTAATCACAGGATTAATATTCCTCATATTCACAAACCCAGGGACTATGCAGAGTGTGGACACCAGCGCAGAGAATTCTTTGAGGACATCGCAATTCTGCTTAGTGTAGGCACTTTCGCCAAAAGTTAGTCTTTGAGTCCGTCTTTGCCCATCCCGCAAGTTTCGAAAATCCCTCAGTTCATATAGAAGAGAGCCAACTGGATTGTAATTTACAAGTGCAGCAGAAAAAATTCTGGTTTTGTATTTTGGCACACTCAAATACTCATTGAAACAATTCATGAAGGATTTAAAACTCTGTTCAGAGACCACTTAACTCATCACAGGGCAGGTGATTCGCTTTGTTGTTAGTGCTGTCCACTGGATTCCAACTCCTAGCAACCCTGTGTACAGCAGAGCAGAACTCTGCCCACTTTTTGGTGCCGTCCTCTCACGTTCCAGCACTGTATCACCCAATACTCCACTGCTATTCGTAGGGCTGTCATGGCCCATTTCTTTGAAAGTGTTGGCTAAGTGCTTCTTTCTAGTCTGTCTAATCTGGAAGCTCCACTGAATCCTGTCCACCATGGCTGACTCTGCTCTATTTGAAATACTGGAGGAATGACTTTCAGCATCACCACAACATACAGCCACCACAGTATTATAACCCACAAATGCATGGTGTGTTTTCCTGACTGGGAAGTGAAGCTAGGCCACAGCAGTGAGAACACTGAATCTTAACCCCAGAAAACCCAGGGCTGGGTTGGTGATTTGTATTTATACATTTTTATCCATAGCAACCCAAGTTTGCAGAGCCAAGTCAACTTCTACTCATCTTGAACTTTGCATTGCTTATTGTCCATAGAGGGATCCCTGTTAATCCAACTACTGTTAAAGGAACCATACTATGTTTCATATTGAAAGATGTTAGAGAGTAGTTCTTGAAAGTTCTGATCAAAAGAAAAAATTTTCTAACTATGTAAGGTGATGGATGTTAATTACACTTATTGTGGTGACCTTTTGCATTGTATACAAATATCAAATCATTACATTATACACCTGAAACTAATATAAAGTTATAAGTCAATTATACCTCAATTAAAACAATGAAAAGGAACCATGAATATCATGTCTACAAACCCCAACATTTCACAGACATTGAGCCTGAGCCCAAGGGAATTAAGCGACTTTCCACAGGTCACACAGAGAATGGATCTGAACTGAGAATAAAACAAGTCTCCTGACTCCTGGTCTGTTACTGCAGGTCCCAGGCCTCCCTGACGCTGTCAGACTAATTTTACCAAAAGGATCACAGTTGGACCTTCCCTTCTAACAGCTTCTTTCTATTGGATTTCTCCACATTTCCCTGGCAGGGCATCATAGAGAAAAATAAGGAGGATTTCTTACTGCAGAATGAAGAGGCATCTGTCAAATATTGCCAGGATGAGCTTCAGCGGCTTTCAGAGCCCCTGATGGAAAGTATTTCAGGAGGAACTTTCTCTGTACCTGGAGGACACAAGCTCTACTTAGAAGCTTTGAACAAGGTCAAACAGGACTACGAGCTGGTGCCCAGGAAAGGAGTTAAGGTGAGAAATAAGGGAGGGGGAGAGAACAGCAGAGTGGAGTCAGAAGTTCTTTGGTGGCTGTTTTGAAAACCTCAGACCACAGCACCATTTGTGGAGAGAAAGCAGAGCATGGTGATATCTCTACATTTTTAGCTTTTTTATCCACAATTAGTTAGATACTCTTAAATAAAGCAGAAATACTTCTTCCCAAGTATAAGATTTATTATCAGGAATCTAGAAGAGAACATTCTTTTCGTTTAGCCAACAATGTAATTGTTTTTGTACAAAATACAAGGGATACATAATTAAAGAAACAGTGTTGTTCTCAAGAAGCATATGATCGTACCTGAGAAGGAGATATAAATAGTCAATTGGATATGGTGGGATGATGGTTGTCATACAGGTATACACGGACAGTGATGCTGATGCTGGTGATGGTGATGGCAAGGTTGGTGATGGTAATGGTGATGTGTGACGTATATTGAACACACTTCCTAAATTAACTGTATTCTTAGCTGCTGTGTTTAGGTTATCAACATAATCCTCAGAATAATATGAATTAGGTGCTACTGTCATCGCCATTATAACTGAGAAATGTGATGTACCGAGAAGTTAATAAGTTGCCTACAAACACACAGCGAGTGGTAGAGCTGGTGGGCAGCTCTGTGTACTTGGCAGCCATTCAAAACTCAGAAGGAAGTTTAGGAAAGCTCCCTTGAAGAGGAGGTAGGAGTTACAAGTAGAATTATTAATAAATGATATTCTAGTACAGAAAGGAAGACAAGCATCCAGTCAGAAGAAAAGAATGTCCTGATACTGCAAACAATACAGGATATGTGTTTGTAGAACTGCACATAAATGTGGTTGTCTATAATCCGTGGTGCGGGGTAAGTGGCCTCATTAGGACAGGAAGCTGGAGAGCTGGGAAAGGCTGCTATAGAGGGTTCTCATAACTTACTAGAAATCTTGGACTTAGTTTAGGCCACTGATGGAAAGAAGCCACTGTGGGATCCTAAGAAAGATGCAGAATTCATAGGGTCTGATTTGGGGTTTCATTGAACAATAATTTCCCCAGCAAGAGGCTAGATCTTTGTTACCTGATGAGTCTTTCCTCCTTGTTTTGTCCTCAGGGAAACGAGGTCCTCCAGATCTTCCTGCGGTCACAGGCAGCAGTAGAGGCATCCATCCTTCAGGCCGACAAAACCCTCACCGATGGGGAGAAGGCCTTAGCAGGTACCGGAGAGGGCGTGGCTCACAGCGGGGTGGGTAGGTTCCTGCTGTGCCCTCTGACAGGTGTGGGAGCAAACCCTTCCTGAAACAAGGAGCTTCCTCTCCTCTGGAATGCACAGTCTGCTATATCTGCAAATAACCGGGGGTGTTTGGGCTGCTCATCCAGCCAATCAGTGCCTTTCCATCACATTCTGAAATTTGCTTTTCCTGGTGTGGCTCGTGGGAGAATTCAGAGATTGCTCCCTGCCATTTAAAAGTCGTTCTAGTCTCTGAGCTCAAAAGGGTACAGCTCGGCATAACTGTTATTTGCTTCCCTCTGTAAAACTGTTGTGCAACAGCTGAGCGTGCCAGGAATCAGGCAGCTGAGAAGGAAAAGGAGCTGCTAAGACAGAAACAGAAGGAACAGCAGGAAATAATGCAGGCTCTAGAGAGAAGCTTCCAGGAAAACATGGCCCAACTGAAAAAGAAGTCGGAGAGGGAAAGAGAAATCCTTCTGAGAGAGCAGGAAATTATGCTGGAGCACAAGCTGAAGGTAAGTCTGGATGGGCCGTGGGCAGTGCCTGATGGACAAACCCTAGTACTCAGGAAGGGAAGAACAAAAGTTTTAACCAAATCCTGATACTGGAGGGAAATCCAAAAGGCATATGAATCACTGAAACATCAATAAACCTAGATCATGCTAAAGCCCTAAATCTATAAGACCCCAACACCTTCTCTAGCGTTAAGAGTTTGGAGGGTACAAATAACATGCCACAGGCTCCTTGACTGCTGTTTGTGGTGATATAGGGTCTCATTGTGCCCCTAGGTGAATAGGACCTTAGTCCTATAGTCCTTAGCACACTAGGTACCATCATCAAAGAGACCTGAATTAGATCCATCTGGGCTTGAGAGTGTCAGATTGAGCCTGATATGAAATATGGGATGCTGAATGTTCCAAGACTTGCTGCAGTTGCTTCCAGATCTGCCTGATTCATTCTAGACGCCTAGTGTAAAATGCATTCTTTGTCCCAACCTGGAGTTTGATAGCCAGTGCTCTATAGAGTCAGCAGTTTTCATTATTTGTTACATGCATTCCTACTTCAGTGGAACTAGAAATAAGTAGGCTTAAATCCACATTCCCTCCCAAAGTGCATTCTTAGAACTGGAACGCATTACTGGGCAGTTGTCAGGCCTGACGTACTGCCAAATCCTCCCCATCCCAGTGAGATCGTGCTGAGGGATCATAGGAAGGTGTAAACCATGGAGACTCCCACTATTTAGGTCCAATCATTTGGAAATATTGGACAGACTCATCAAAGAGCATCGAAGGCAGTAAAGAAAGAGGCACGTGCTTAGCCGCGGCAGTTGTTAAAAATAAAGTGCTGATAAATGGGGATTTCCAAAAGTACACTCTCTTCTTTTCACAGATCCAAGAAGAATTACTTACTGAAGGATTTAAAAAGAAATCTGAGAAGATGAATGAAGAGATAAATAAACTAAAAAAAGAGACTGAAAGATCTAAAAACATTGACCTTTCAAATATCCTTGATGTGGCTACCATGGGGCTTATAATGGCACTACCCCCACCCACGCGGCTAATTGCTTCTGGGATGAAATGTCTCAGTATGCTTATCAAAAGTGTGAAGAAATCCTAGGTATATTATAAAAGGCTTCTTATGTTTTAATAGCATAATGATGTGGCCCATTTTTGAAATATATGTGTCACGGTAGTTTCATCCAAGAAAATTTTTAAAATAAAAACTGACAACCAAAGAATATCAAGGTCTGATATCCAAAAAAACAATTTTGATTGAACTGATTAATTTAGAGAAATGAAAAAGTTAGAAGATAATGATATATCCATAGAAAAGTTTTAAGCAAAACAAAAAGACAAATGGTAAGATGAATAAAACATTTGCAATGTCTATTACTGTCACGGAGATCATTTCCTTAAGCTATAATGAGCCCTTATTAATCAGCGAAGGAAGATCAAATACCACATTTTTTGAATGAGCAAAAATATCATAAGAGAATAAAAATATTTAACTTTACTGATTATAAAAGATATGCAAAGTAAAACTAGGAGGTACCTGTGTCACCTGTTAAGTGGGCCAGAAAGGACAGTTGTGATAGGACACCAGATTGGCAAGTTTCAGGAAACTGGCAATCTCTCATATTTGCTAGTGAGAGTGCAAGTTGGTGCAAATATACGTCAAAAGTTTAAACGCAAAAATGGTTGAGCCAGTAAGTCCACATTTAGGAATTTATCTTCTAGATTGATTTACCCAAGTTCAAAATGACATATATAGTAGTATATCTGTTGCTGGATTATTGTAATTCCTAAAGACTGGAAACAATTTTAAAGTCCCTCTGTCAGAGACTTGTGAGGTAAATCTGGAGACGTATTTACAATGGAACACTCTACAGTCACTAAATGAAAGGGGAAACTCTGTTTCTACTAACAGGAAGAAATCTCCAAAGTTGATCATAAGTGAAAAAAAAAGATGCAGAAAGTGTGTATAGTTGCACCACTGAATTTAGAAAATAATGAAAATGTATTTGTATTGTCATCTGTCTCTGGAAAATACAAAATAAACTAGTATCCATGGACACAATAGGAATAGACCTAGACAGTTGAGGTAAGACACAAGCGGATGACTAACTTTACATAGTTTATTCTTCTGTGCCTTTCATATCTGGCATGAATTCTTACTTACTCAAACATAAATAAATACGATTATTAAAATTAAAACAATAATACAAAGAATGGGGAAGTTCTACGTAACACTGGTAGAAAATGCATAGGTCAGTTCAACAGGAATAGTCTACTTATTACATCAAGAAACAGACACTACAGGATGTGCATCTTCATTTTGTTATCATTTGGGTCTCTGAAGAAGGTCTTGAAATCCTAGTCCCTAAGTTATTTTCAGATATAAAATCTACAGGGATGTCAGGTGGAATGGTCTCCAAATTCCCACCCAACATTTATAAAGATGGTGAATGAGAAGCAAAGTGTTTTCAGGATCAGCTCAACATTTGGGGAATTCTTTTCAGTTGTCTAGAGTTTAAGATTCTTGTGTTTAGAATGAACGGCTTGTAGTTCCACAGGCTATACATATTCTCTTTCTCTTGGCTCAGCCTGTGCACACAGGACACAGACTTGCTTAAATACTCTGGCTTCTTCACCCTGTACCCTTTATGTGTTAACCTCACAGACTCCTGTTTCCTGACTTCCAGAGACTGGTTGGGTGTCTTCTTTGTGCTACCATTGTGCTATGTTTTCCCTCCTACCATAGCACGTTTCATATAAATGGAAATTCAAATGACATATGTACAGCTGTCTCCCCTACCACCTCATGATCTCATCTACTTGATGATCTCCATCATCACATATTTAGCTCCTAACACAAAGTCCACCACATAAACACCAGGTGTTCAAAAAATATGACTGAATAAATTATATGAACTGCCATCCAACAGGGGTCAAGTTACCATTTCCTTACTATATTGACTGCTCTGTAGGTCTCTCAAAATAAAGGACACAGTTTTAGGAACCAGGGCAGAAGGGACTCAGAGGCAAAAAGGACATGCACACTTGACTAAACCTGCTGCTCTGTCCTCTCTGAGGGACTGGACACTCCACATGCTCTGGTTCCTCAAGCTTCTCTCCCATGACAATTATCCAGCCACCTCTTTTGCCTCACAGCAAAATTATAATTGCTAAAATAGTAAAGAAAGAACCATTGTCTTGCAAACCTCTCATTTTCACCATAATTCTTGTATCCATTCAAGGAGCTTCTGTCAAAATAAGACTACGCTTTTGATTTGAGCCTCAATTTCTCATTGAACATGATACCCACAGGCTGACAGACTGTTCAATCTACAGGCACAGCTGTACTTTCTTGAGGGTAGTGAGCTAATGGTCAGTTGCTTACATTTTCCCCAACCTAAGTCACTGGAATGAGGATTGCTGCAACTGAGCCAGTCCCCACAGACCCTTTGGTATCATCAGAGAAGTGTGCTGAATCCTGCGTGTCTGGTCGATCTGGTAAAGGGGATGAGGGAGCAGTGATGAGTTCTGCTGCTTGTTCAATTCTCCCCAACACACATGACCAGCAAGACAAATCAGAAACAGTCAACAGGTGAATGTTGACACGAAATGATCATGGTTTAGATGAAAGAAGGGATCAAGAGTGAGGTAGAAGATAAAAGCAGAGTAAGAGGAATCCTCATTCACTTTTAAGTTCAGTCATAAAGTGTCATCCATTGGAATAAGATTTATATACATCTCCACATAAGGCTCCAGTCAAAAGGCCTCTCCCATACGTGAATATTAATAAATAATTGTTAAATAATTGAAAGAATCAAAGATCCATACAAGCACTTTTTCAACATTTCTGTGGGAAGGCAGTTTCACAGCCATTCTTCCATGTGGTGTCGGTCCAGTAAGAAGTGAGCTGCTGTGGACACATCTACATACCTTTCTCCATTCCCTCGGATTTGGCCGTAGCCTGCCTCAGGAGTGCTACTCTCACCTGTTAGCTTGTTACTGTATAGTCCTCACAGAATGTATTTATAAAGGAAACTCTTCAGCATCATAGAGAGGATGGGATGCAGGAACTCAGTAGAAATGCAAGGAAAAATAAGGAAGACTTCGCTTCAAGAATACAGGAAATAAGGGAGCAGATGATCTGACAAGACAGTGTCTTGTCAGATCCTCTGGCCTCTTCGGACTCAGGTTAAATTTTGCCGATATGTGTACTTTGAATATAACAAAGAGTAAGAACATTTAAACAACTGGTCTGCAGCCTGCGGATGTCCTTCTCTCTGAAGCAAAGGCTCACTCCATGGGGGGGTGCAGGAGCATCTGTGACAGGTTCTCTGGCCCTGAAGTTATATCAGGGTCAGGGTCCTCTCTGGAGTGGGGAGAAGCAGGGCAAGAGGTGCAAGCCCTGGAACATACACAGCTGGCAGGAGCAGGTGGGCCTGCCGTACAGTGTGTCTTGTTCAAACTAGCTACTGGGACCTGTTCAATTCTCCTAACCCATCACATATTTTAAATCCCACTCACTTTATTATTCCTATGACTCTTATGCCAATGAACACATTCATTATTGTAAATTCAGAAAAGAATGCTTCCTGTACTAAATCACCAATTCTTAAGGTAGTTATCCCAGGCTTGGTCAACTCACATGCTTGTTAACCACCCTATGATTGTAAATTGGAGTCAGCATCTAAACACACACAGTATATTGTTTATTCTGAAACATTTTAAACTTAATTACAACATGCATAAATTAATTCTCATTTCCAAACTGCTATTGTTTGAATCTTTGTGTCCTACTTGCTCGCCAGAATAAAATATCTTTATTGCACCCTGAAACTTTATCAGTTGCCTGTGCTTTCTGTCCAAACCAAGAGGATTGATAAAATCTCTCTTTGGAGCCACATTTCCTAACTGACCTACCTTAATATAGTAATTCATCTATGCAGAGTTAAACAGTAATCTTTTACAGGGTTTATATATCGTCAAGGATTACTAAATACTTGTCTAACAAATGAATGACAAATGAATTTCAATATCCAACACCTAACACAAAATGTTTCTTGAAATAAATGATTTTTGTTTTCCAAATAGAAAATGCTTTACTTTTGTGTGTTTTTTTTCTGTGATGATAAAATAATTCACATTCTTAAAAAAACACTATTGATAGAAAAGTATAAAAAATAAGTTACAATCGGGGCTGCCCCCATGGCGGAGTGGTTAAGTTCACGCGCTCCACTGCAGGTGGCCCAGTGTTTCGTTGGTTCGAATGCTGGGTGCGGACATGGCACTGCTCATCAAACCACGCTGAGGCAGCGTCCCACATGCCACAACTAGAAGGACCCAGAATGAAGAATATACAACTATGTACCGGGGGGCTTTGGGGAGAAAAAGGAAAAAAGTAAAATCTTAAATAAATAAATAAATTACAATCCTATTGATGAGCTAGAAATGCTGTTAATATTAGAGTATATAATATTCAAGGCACCTCCCTATTTATTTTGGATTTATAAATGTTTTCATAGATAGAATAATTTTGTACCTATCATGAATTGAATTATTCACAACCAAAATGCCCAAATTTATCAACAGACAGTAACATTCATCATCTTCAAAGAGGTTTGGAGCATAGACAAGAAATTCACTCTTTCATATTATAAAGTGAATTGAAAGTCTTATCAGCAAAGTCCTTTCCTTAAACATGTAAAAAGAAAACTGTTATAGTATTGAATAAGAAATTTGTACATGCATATAGGTAGACCGTAAGTGACCAGAAGAGATGAACTTTCACAGTGTTTACAAGCAAATGAGATTCTTTCACATGGCACAACTAAAATTTGAGTATATAACACAATATATAACATTTTTCCTGAGGATCAATGGTATCCTGTTTTCCCATAAGACGACTGGACAGTACAGTTTGCTGTTAGATCCTGAACTTCCTTTACCTTCTTTCATATAGTTCACCCCATGCTCACTCGGGAACTGAAGTAGCCATTGTTTGGTTAATTGCCCTCATCTGAAAGACTAATCAAACATCTCCCATCAGCGTGAGTAGAAATAAACTATGGCACATCCACACAATTGTGTAAATAGCTGTAAGAAAACAGTGCAAAAGCTTTATGTGAATGAATATGCAGTGATTTCCATATATCTATACTATGTGAAATTTTATGTTAGGCTACGTGTATAAGAAAACGTACATGGATCTGTTTATTTGTGAAAAGGAAATACAAGAGAGAGAAACTAGAAACTCTGAAGATTGTGTATCTACAGAGCATGAATGGGAGTGGTATGGAAAGAAAAGAATGAAAGATGGAATGAGAATGGAGAAGCAAGATGAAGGAGAAGTGCTGTTTCTCTGAGTACACCTTTTTGGA